TAAGATAAAATGTAGATACATAATACCAACAGCGAGTCCTTCGTACGCGGGATTACGTCATAAATTATATTTTTCTAAGCGAGTAATTCATTATATGCGTTGCATTTATTAAAATTATAATAAAGAGTACGTTTCTCTCTCAGGAGTTTATCTATTTTAATTAATCATTAGAGGACTTTAGAGATAATAATGTAACAGAATAGCCAAATTATGCACGCAGCTTTCATAATGAAAAACGCGGATGGGTAATGTAGAGATTTACAAAGAAAGGATTATACATCCGTTTTGCTTTAGCATTAACCCAGCGTCTTGATTTCGCCGAAACGCCCCGCGGCGCAATATCGAGTAACAGAGGAGACGAAACGATGCGAAGGCACCTGCCCTTTGATCTCGACCTTCCTCGGAATTTCGTTTCATCTCGAGTATGCCCGCCGTTCGTTGGTTTCACCGAGATGAAGCGTATCGCAGGCGTGAACGCTTAACGGTTACCGTTACCCGTTACTGTAACGCGTGGAACGCGCCTCCGTTATATCAATTTCGGTTTGCGGCCCCGGGGCGAAGTCGACCGGAAAGAAGATCGGGGCGAATTCCAAGGGAGACGACCGCACACGCCCCCGAACGCAAATGAAAAGAGATTATCATCCCGTCGTACGCAAATATGCGGGCTGCTCCGGATATGCATCTGCGCGGCGCATTACGCAGTTTCTACCGCGATATTTTCTCGCTGCCCGCCGCGCGCCATCGCCGGGCATCGTTCTTTCGCGCCAGCAAAGTGGAGCGAACGTAGTCTCTGGCGGATACCGGCCGGGAGGAGAGAGAGACAGGGTAAAATTAGTTTCAACCTCTTGCGGTTCCTTCCTAGCCCAAGACCGGATCTGTATGGAAACTACCCGCCTTCTGTTGCGGCTGGCAAGTGAACGGGTCAGCTGATGCAAGCTTCACGATTACATAATATTCTAATTAAATATTCTATCCTTCGGCTTATGTAATAATATAATTATAGTTATATGCTTTATTATTTATTTCAGTTTTTATCGATTCTATTTATTTATCGATTGTTAACCCTTAAACGCTTTTATGGCATAACTTTTTTTACCCAATACTTTTTTAATGCTTTTTTCTATTGCCTATAACTTTTTTTATTAATAAAGATACATAGATACTCTCTAAATCCTTTGGAGTAAAATTTTACTCTAGAGTAAAAATTGAGCCAGTTTTGAAAAAGAGTAGCTCAATTTCCAATCTTTAAGGGTGAGATTTCACTCTAAAAATTTTAGAGAGTACATTCTCTTTGTATCATTATCTTTTTTAATCAAATGATAATCTTAGTTCCCTAATAATTTTCATTATTTTAGTATCCACAATATTTCCATGTGAGATGTGGAAGTTTCTAAAAATTTAAGTAGTTAGACCTAAAAATAAATTTTGTTGGACTATCAAAATGATTATTTAGAACGCTAATTATTAGAATATCAAAACTTTTTGCATCAGCATTGTACATTATACCTGAGCTTCTCACACAAGTATTTTGATTGTTCAATGAAATTATTTTCAAATTTATGTCTAATTAAATTTTTAGGTAGGTATTTCAATAAATTCTTTCTGTGTATGCCATGTTTATTAATAAAAATATATACGCATATATATTTGCTTAGTATTGGTCTTTAAAATGTCTGGCGTTTCGATTCAAAAAAATATTTTTTACAATATTCGTTTTTATGAACATATTGTAAAAAATGTTTTTACAATAAGCAATCGAATTGAGTCGAGTGTGTCACATATCGATGTGTTGTTTCCATGGTAAAGCCTTTAAAGAATAATTAGGTAAACGTTTATTAAATAAAAAGAGAGAGAGAGAAAAACAAAGAGAAAAAGGGAGAGGTAATTATCTCTTCATGCGGTCACACTGTTTATTAAAGGACCAATCGTTAACGCATTTAAATAGCGCAAACAAATCAGCGAATCGGCGCGCAATTGAACGCGCGCCCGGTCGATTGTGATTGTTCGGACAATTAGTCGAACACGAATAATACCGCGCGCGAGAGTCCCAGCGCGAAACTGGATTTACGTGACTTCTGGGTCACGTACAAGTTGCACGTTCGCCAAAGCAACAATAGAATTATCCGCGTCGTGGACGCGCGTTCTGCGAAGGCAGTCGCCTTCGTCTTCGCAAACTTTGGCATAGCACGAGCTGGTCTTCTCGCTCGTGATTCGTCGAGCGAATATCGATCTTAACGGGAACGAGAATACGACGGGTTTAAAAGTACGCGAACGCAATTGTTCCGAAGATGGTTTGCGATCCGAAAATCGCAACGTCCAAAAAACGACGTAAATTACCCGCAGGAAATATATATCGCAAAGCAACCGAGAAGAATTATTGTTCCGTCGATTCGTCGATAACTAGAATTGTACCAAAATAATGTTCTTCCAGCATTCTGATAGTGTACGAATGCCCTCGTTTTTAGACACCCCATAATCATCGAGAAACCTAATGTCACGACACGTTCACGTAGATGGGCGAGGATAACAATTCCTCGACATCTCCCTAGTCGCTACTCTCAATCTTTTATGATTTATCGATGCAAGATAATTCATTTGTACTTCTATGTATAGTATGTTTGCTCGTAATTCTTTTTCGAGACTTCAGACATTTTGTAATTTTTCTCTGGAATGTATGCACGTCACGAGACTCTCAAACCGCAATTAAACATAAAAATCTAGATCCGGAAACAAATGGAATAACGACTGATCTAAATTTTATAACAGATTTTTTTTTAACAATATCGTATCTTGTATCTGGAATGGTATTTCTTGAAATATGCACAAAGCACAGAAGCCAATCCGGGAATTCAGGATGGAATTTCGTACTTCTCTACTTAAACGCACAATATCAATAGTAATCGCAGTGTACACACAGTTTTCTTATATTTTTCTTTTAAAGTCTGCTTTCTTTTGACCGTGTTATTTTAATATCTTTTCATTTAATCTTAAGTTTAAAGGTAATATTAAATCTATTTATGTCTTAATTGCATAAATCTGATAATAATTTTTTAAGAAATAAGAATAATTTTGTAACGTGTCTGCATTCGCCAATTTATATATTTTAGAGCGAGCAAGTGATCTTTTCATAAAATATTAATCGTTACGATAAATAAATATTTAATCATCATTTATCTAATTGGCAATTTAGCTCAGCTATGATATATTGATATCACTGTTCGATAAAAAAAAAGAACATTAAAACAAAGTCATGTTGCATAATTTTTTGGACTTTGAAAACGAATCCAGTTTCCAAATTGTTCACGTTGCAGTTTTGAAAAATTGACAGTTAAAATTGTAAAAAAAGCTGTTTTCAGATATTTTATCATATCATAATGTGACGTGTTAGACAAGTTTTATTGCAATTAAAATGAAATACGTTTTTAAAACTTTCAGTCCTCAAAAGGAATTTTTAGTATCAGCTATGATTAATGAAATATTCATCTTTATCGAACATTGTAATTGATGAAACTTCTTCTAACATGTGTATAATATATGAAGTTAGAAAAGTGATCGCAAAATTGATAGTTTTTTTGCCCATTTTTGGTCTCCCGATTTTAAAACTGAATTGTATGCGGAAATGATATTTTATGATGAGACATCAAAAAATTTTCAAATTAAGCTGAGAATGGGTTTAAAAGATATAGAAGATCAAAGTTCATTAAAACCCTACTCTTCGAAGCACGCATTTTTCAGAGTCTGATAATTTAAAACTTCGTACTCAGTGTTTTTGTTGGCTGTTGACAACCAATTTGAAGTTAGATTTTCAAAATTCAAAATGGCTGATTTAATATGGCAAATCATATATTTAAAAAATGTTTTAATTGTACAAGAAATACCTTATAGAGATTTCTTAGGTCATTGATTATAAATCTAAAGTCAGATCTTTAGAAAAAATGACTAACCTAGTATGATGGACAAAAATTAAAAAACTTTTTCACTTTTACGAGGATCAGTTATTAGAGTTGGTCGCAATATGTGATTGATGATTAATTATTTTTATTTGTTAATAATAAATGAATTGAAACTATCAATCAGCATCCCAATATGAATCATGGAAACAGCATTTTATAAAAATTATTCGGTCGCCTCAAACTTTTGTGATTGATATCTCATTATAAGATATTATTTGACACATAATTTAGTGTATACTGTCCCAAATTCCAGGATCAAAGAATGATTTTTATGATCACGCTTTGTATTAATTTAACACAAAATAAATATATTAAAAAGTAACAAATATTATATGTCAAAAAATTAACACAAAAATATGACACTGATGCAATTTGCAAGCAAACTGTGAAAGCATTTTTTTCAGTAAAATTAATATCTATGATATGTTAAATAAAAACATTTTTTATTTCTTTATCTTACAATCCATCTTTCAAAAGACTTTTTTATGCTATTTGTCTCCTTTCCTATAAAATGTATTATTTTAATATTAAGGAACCTTGAATACATCAAAGGAACCTTAATACAAAATATTTAAATAATATAATCACGTTATGTTAAATTAACACTCGGATATATTAAAAATTCAACACAAAGTTTTAACAAGGATTTAAGTAGATCAGTTTTACGAATACAAAATGTTTTTTTATTACATACATTTCCGAGGAAATGAATGTAATGCTTACAAAGGCATGTCTCACCAACTGTATACGTGCCAATTTCGCGATCAGAGAGTACGCGATGTTCAGCGATGCGCCGCGTCTCAAAGTAATAATAATGATAATAACAATAATAATATAATAACAAGTAGAAACAGGGGTAATGATGACGCATAAATCGCTATTCAACGTTGGGCGCCTCGGCGCTCATCGACGATCGTCGCCGACTACGCGGCTCGGCGCATGCAGTTGCACCTGTCGGACACGAGGCGCGCAAGCGCTCAGGTGCTACAAACCGCCGCACGGAGGTAAAACGACGCGCGGTCGAGCTTTCGTAGTCGGCATCGGCCATCCGCGACGCGAACTTTCACCCGGTCGGCGGTATCGTGCGCGTCGCGTCGCGTCGCGGCGCGATTTACAAAGTTGTTACGCGTTTCGTTTTGTAAACCGACGTGCTCGAGGCGGAAAAAAAAGGAAGGCCCGTATCGTCATCTCACCTCGAACGAACCTCGGATACGCGGTATGAAAAAAAACGTGGCCTACGTGCGACTACGAAAAATGTGCAGTTAACTTTGGAACTTGGAAACGTTGAATCTTCGGAACTTTATTTCCGAACTTTATTCACGCCAGAGTGGAATTTGCGGCCAGCAAGGAAATGAAGATTAATCCAAACTGGAGTACACACGTTTGGCTAAACATATCTTCAGATTAGAGTTACGCGCGTGCAAAGGATGAAAGAATGCCTTTTTCTCGAGGACGGTGCCGTACAGGCGAATTAAAGTCGCGTCGCGACGCTGACACTGATTTCATCTGATCCGATCAAGCCCGCGGGCGAACGCGTGCACGCGAATGGAAAAACTGTTGGGAAAAACAAAAGTTGCGGGCGACCGAAAGCGTCACTGCCTCTAATTTTAATTTCACCGGCCGTCCGGTCTATAAACCGCGCTTTCGCGTTTTCGGTTACTCGATCGCGCGATGAAACCAGCCGGCCGGAAGAATTTCGATGCTGTCCCCGGAATTGCGGCGAGCCGCTCTTAACCCGGATAGAGCCGCGAAGGTAGGCTCCAAATACCGCGGCAGCGCAACCAATGCGGCCTCAAATCGTCCCAGCAATGCGAATTAACATACCCATGCATTCCAAAATAAATCGCGGTCACGCTAAAATTTCGATATCGGTCAGAAGCACGCTCGCCAATAGTATGAGTTAACGAGTACATCATACGTCGCTGTCGCATTATACGCAAATCGACAAATTTCTCTGTATTCCATAGAGAGAATGATAGTAATCATAGCGGTGGTACCGATATAAAATAAATGTGGCTTTGCGAAATTTCAACCGATCGGAATCTCGATCACGAATCGTATATATACATTCGCAATTCAAGTTAATATATTCATCCTCTACTGTTATGTAATATATGTACAGAATTATGTGAAATCATGGAAATTACAATATGCAGTATGCTTAAATTAACTCATAATACAAATCAGTGCATGCGATTGGAAATAAATGCGGTTTTGCAAATTTTCACTTGATTAGAGGAGTTGTCTATTGTAATTAGCATACGTATAACGCAAATTTTCCTTTACCTAGAGAATTATGCAAATTAGGAATATAATCCATATAGTTTACTTAACTTGATCGACAACCCATCGCTCATTCTCCGCCGGCTCAATTATTCGATTGATTATCAACCAACCACGGATCGATTATATAGAAAGAACGAGATTTTGCTGAAGTATTTAAAAATTTAATTAGACACATATTTGAAAATAATTTTGTTGGACCATCAAAATAATTACAATTAGAAATGTCAAATATCATGAGTAATGCTGCAAAAAGATTTGACATTTTAAGTAACTAGTTTGGGCGTCCTACGTAAATATTTCGAGAGACTAAAAACATGGTGTATAAATTCACATAAAATTATTTAAAACATTTAAGCTCCGACCGGTATTAGGCATTGCTTTTTACTTATTATGTGTTCACATTATACGATCCTAATAAATCGTTTATTATTGTTTATAATCGTTTTGATAATCTAACAAAAATCATTTTCAGATCTATATCTAAATTTTTATATATTTATTCAATAAAACCATCCTTTTCGTGCATTTGCAAGATTCGCATTTTCGATAAAGAAAACGTATTTAATACGATAGTAAAACATGATGAATTTTTTCCTATTTTCTTTCTATAACTATTCAACCCTTGCGTGGTCTTTTTCGAATAGTCTTCAAAGCAAAACTGATGAAATATTGGAGGAATATTTCACATATATTGGGAACACACACGCGACATACAAACACACACGACATTGCTCGCTTGCGCGAAAGCATTGAAATTTATTAAGTCGTAAGGATACAAACGAGGGAATATCCGCTCGATGAATGCTACACTGAATCCAGACACGATTATCGAAGCGGAAGCTCGTCCCCTCGCGTTTCCGACAAAATTGTGGAAAGCCGCATTTAAATTGAGATCAAGAACTTTGGACAGCACGAGGGATGGATTACGAAGTCATGTCATCGCTTATAATCGAGCAAAACGATAGGACAATAAAGAGCAAGCGTCCTGTTCATTGTCGATCGTATGAATTGGTATCGGTAGAATTGATGATCGGTCAATTATGATGAAAGGAACGAAAGCAGAAATGGGGCCGCGCGTCACATTGGCTTCGATTTTGTATGAGAGATCAGGCGATTTTATTGAGCTTACGCTGATGCATATCGATGGGACGGGCAGTGGAAAGCGAGAGCTTTTTTATGGCGAAAAAAGGCAATAAGAGCAGAGTGCACGGCGAGACTAGAATTTCGCATTCGGGAACGAGGACAGTGTCGCGTAGATGGTAGTTATGGATAGCTACGAGAGCGAAACGATTGAATTGGTGACGCGATGCCGTCCAACTATTCCCATATCGCAGCTAGAAATCGTACGTGAGTGAAATTAACGATTGGCAAAATCAGGCATGCGAAACATACAGGGCATAAAAGTTATGACACACAAAAAAAAGCTTAAGTAAGGGCTATCGTACATACTTTTCGTAATAGTAACCGTAAGACGTACCGTAAGAATTAATCAATTGCAGCCAAGAATTGTCAAAAATGTTCATCTTTGATTGAATCTATTACAGAAACTTATGATGCCTCAAAAACTGAAGGGATTTTTGAGATATCATAACGAAAAATTTGCAATAAAATTTTTATACTTTAATAAAAGTTTGTTACAATTGGACGCTTGCACTGTGTGCGGCAGTCCTAAGACATAAGTAATGTGTATAAACGAATCAGTCAGTCACAATAGAGGACATAAGGCAATAACGTAAGCAATAGCAAATAAAAAATGTTGATTTGCTTACGGCTTACGTTTTGTTGCTCACATTTTTCTAAGTATCAGCATTAAAATTCAACAGATTTGAATAAATACCGCGTTAAATCTTCTGTCAATGCATAATTTTTCTGCTTTTCACTACCGTGTTTCCTAAAACCGTGTTTATGCTAAAAATGTAAAAGTAATGTGAAACAAAATCTGCCAAACTGTTCTTTCTTGTTCAAAGGGTGGGGTTTTTGAGACGTCATAACAAAATTTGCACAAAAATATAAAAATTCTTACTGTTTAAATTTCGATAATAATTTGCTACTCGTACATTGACAGAAGGATTAATTTGACTAACAAAATGAAATCTTAGTACCTATTAATTAGGGACTATTAAGCGAGTTCTCAACAGGTTGTTAAGACAGACATAAAACTGCGTTACGTTAAAAAGTCTTAAATTTAGATGAAGCATTTCTTTTTAGCGAAAGGAAATTAACTATTACTCTTGTAAGCAAGAATTGAATGATATATATGGTATTCAAAATTAACGTTCAGTCAAAAGTTGAAAGGGAACACCGAATCTTATCCAGAGAAATATTTACAATATCAAATAAATATTTTCCCTTCGGACTGGGTGTCTTAACTTTCATCGCGTGAACGGCGAGAAGGATAGTCTTAGACGATAAAATCCTCTTTGTTTATTCATAATGTAATACTGCCGTCGGAAGAATTTCTTCGTGAAGGCAGAGTCGATATAGATACAATAAAAAGTACCGCGCGGGGTGCGTGAATAAGTCAGGAATGGGCAGGCACGCCGCCCCTTATTCGGACGTATTCGAAGGGGAATATCTGCTGACAAATCGATTCTCATAGGCCACACACTCGTTGCTTGTGGGATTGTGTTTCGCGCGGCCGCCTGCGCACGTGGGTTTCAGAAGGAAAAAACCAACAAGACGAATGCGAGGATAGTCTTACCAAATAAATAAACCATACCGGCCCAACAATTGCGAGTTCCAGCCAGACCTTTCGAACTCTCAAACTTGGAATCATTTACGAACATGGGTGGCTAGGCTGTCGCGATCCCGACACGAGATAAATCGCGTGTGAAGGTATCGTACTATGCCGCAAACCACGACATGGAACAATATTTCTCGCTTCGCTCGCGGCTCTCTATCGATATTGTGTGCCGTGTAGTAAACTTCGTAATCGTGTTTAGCTGAACTTTTCGTTTCGGCGTTCCAACATGCTTCTACAACTCAGTACCCTCCGATCGATGCTACAGGCCGTGAAGAAAAGTGAATGTACATGTATTGAAAATCGTGCGCACCAATCTCGATCTACAAGTTTGAAAAAGAAAAAAAATGACATTACAGTAGGCCAAATCTAGTCAATCTTAGTTTTCGGTATCGAATGTCGAATGTATGTAGGACACGGAAATTGTATTTCCGTTAATCTTCCGACTGCCCGACGATGCTGAACTGTAAGATCAAATATGTAAGATCAAACAGTGTGCTGCTTCAGTAAAGTAACTCCAAATTGAATACTTGAATGCTTGCCGAGATACCGAAGAAAAGCGGTTGATTTCCGATAGAGAGTTGCACATACGATTCGGATAAATGGACGATACTGGCACTGATAAATGGAATCATCGCAAGATACATCCCAATTATAAACACAAATCACTATTTCGAAGTTAGGCGGGTCAGCCTCGCTCGATAAACAGCAACATCCTGCTCGATCTCCATGCTCATTAGCAGCGACTGTTGTGCAATCCGTGCGTCATCTCTGCATCTATCTACCTATATCTATATATCACTGTACGACGATCGATCGGCGGAGCATGTATACGTGTCGGGAAGTTCCTTCTAAGAGCGTTGCTCTGTCGCGCGCGGCTGCGGCCGTCTCGACGCTGGACGACGCCCGGAAACTTGCAATGCAAACTCGCAACAAGTTGCATTTAAAATCCGCACCTACTGTCAGTCCGTTGAAGCAGTTGCTCGACAGTTTCGTCTCTTTTCTTCTCCTTCCATTCTCCTCCGCTCGCCTGGCACATCGCCTCTCCCTGGAAGACCCGTCAAATCGCCGAGTATTCTCGACTGATTCGGGCTATTCAGACAAGAGCTCGTCCGAGATTTCCCGTTCGCTCGGCCCCAGGATTATCCAAGATGAAATTCGTTATGAATTCATTCGGGGGTACTACGCGGCTCGAATCAAGCTACGTTTAATACTGCCATGACAATCTTCTGGCTGTCTTGACAGCTGGTAATTATTAACGAGATTAACTCGCTCGTTTCAGGATGAACGTGGATGGAGAGTAACGTAGGATTGGTCGGTCGTATCTATTTTTGGATGTCGCGGCGTCATCTACTTTATTCATGCGCTTCAGTAATTTTTATACGCGCTCATTAATTCGGTTCCGTCTTTATAGTAGTCAGTTGAGAAGCGTACAGTTTCCCTCGCAAACGCGAATTAAAAGGCGTTGCACTTTGACTTACGACTCCTCGCGAAGAGGAAATCCAGTTAAGCAGCGGGCCACGTGGAATTACCGGAATTTCTCGACCGAAAGCTTCGAAGATGAAGAGCACTCGCCTCACGAAGCGAACGCTTTTAGCACCTTACCTCGGTAAAGTAAAGAGAGAAGATAGAAAGAGAAAGAAAACTTTCAATCGTGAAAAATTTCTAACTGGCGATGTAAAAAGAAAAATGTCACAGGAGGTCAGTTCCCGTAAGAATGTGCCAAGATGAAATGTTAGTTCGCGAATGTCGAATTAGATTTTTTCAACTTTCCTCGTTCAATTGATAATCAATCGGAATATCCTTCGAATAATGAGAGTATGCGTGGCGAATGAGCAAAGTCGCAAATAAATGCATATACGGCCGTTAAAGAGGTCGGCTCTTTAACTGCGTATACGTTTCTTCCCCGAGTCAGACGCACAGTGAAAACACAATAACTCGCGGCAATCATTAAATTTAATTGACAGTGGAATAACGTAGAAGCTTGTCGCTAATTAAGACCACGATGAGCATTCGCGCGTGCCTGACGAGTCTGCTTCTGTTTCCTCTCTCTTTTTCTTTTTCATCTATCAATTCTGCAATTGTCTCTAACGCTATGAATGTTCATGCACAACTTTTTTTCCGTTTGAACAAAACGTGCCATGAACACGAACCAGCTAACACGTTGACGGTGATTAAATAAGGTAGTTGGCAGTTTCGTATAAATGGAACAACACGGTGATTATCCAAATAAGCTTCATTATCTATGAAAATAGGATTAAATCAGTCATTTTGAAACTAGAAAATAATGAATGTGTAATTAATAACTTGGATATTAAGAACGATAATCATTAACTTTTTATTACTTAATTATCCCGTTGATCCACTTATTGAAAACGCTCATTTAAGCTCTGGATAAATTTTATAATCAATTTTGAATCAGCATGAGATTGCGCTTTAAATTTTTGGCCAAAGCGATTCTAAACATCCGCGAGATTAATGAAACCAAGTTGTATCTCAAATTAATCTTTTTGACGTGAATCCATGAGAAATGTTCATTAACACCTCCCGCTGTATCTACGCTGCGTGGGGATAAATAAACGTTTGCGTTTTTTCTGCCATTACAATTACGCGACATTTCTGTGACGTCAGGAAGAAGAGAATTGTTGGCAAAATCGCCGCCAGTCGCCGAGGAAACTGGGTGAAAATTACGAATTGTGGACCGGAGGGTGCGCGAGCGCCGCCGAGCGATGGATTTTGTGCTGCTGCTCCTCGTGATGCTGCTGAGGCAAGAGGGTGAGTGCTTTCACTTATGCTAGCTGCTGCGCTTTCGAGCGCACGAATGCACACCGGTCTCATTCCATGAATGCGTGCTGTCCTTCCACTATATCTGCTTTAAAGAATGAACATCCTTCTTCTATCCTCTTCCCATTTTTTTCGTTTTTCAACGATGACTTCCTTTTTTTTTACTCACGCCTAAGGATGCTAACTACGGCGTTATATTTTAAGTACGTGCTCCGAACCACAAAGACTGCGAAAGACCATTCGCGAGAATTGATCTTGCTCGTGAAAATCCCTTAAGCCTTAAAACCGTGATGAAAATCCGATTACATATTGTATGCATATTTTAAACTATCGTGCAGCAAATCTGACACATCGAAATGTCTGTTGGCTGAATTATGCATATGAATATATGTACATTTCTGTCCATTACGGAAATAAGTATGTACACGTATATAGATATAGTACAAGTATTGTGGAGACAAGTATTGCAAAACATAGAGATATTGTCATTCTCCAATCTATTAATATAGATCTACGCCATGTAGAAATTAAACTGATTCTGATAGTAATTACATTATTCAGTTATATTATTTAAATATAATGAGTGTAATTAAGATTGAATATGTGATTGAGATAATTTCTGTATACATCTATACTTCATATAGTAACCATCCTTTTTTCACACATCATGCCATTACGATGTAATATAAAATTCTATCGATTGAATATTATTATTATCTAATCGATAAAATATAATATAAAATTTATTATCTTAATGAGAGTCAGGTGAATTGTATTACTATTTTTTTTATCAAAAGAATGGAATAATACTATTTGCAAGAATTATTAGAAACTACTACAATTTTCATCAGTGCAGAGCGAGAAATAATTAAATAAACGCGAGTAAATACAGTGTGAAACGCAGCTTTGCATCACCATAATTTATAATTACATAATTTGAAATAATCCGGCTTGGATAGAATTGCAATCGGAAGGGATAGTTTTCACGAGTTGTGCGGCTATCATATCGTAAATAAAACATTGCTGTTGAAATTATAACTTAATAACAGCGTGCTTGACGCCACTCAGTTCTACCACAAATCATTAAATTACCAGGGCCAATAAAATATATGATACTTCGAAGCGATATCAAAAGCGACATTTGCAAACTGATACCGTGACATTTCGCGTACGAATTACAAACTCAGGCTTGATACAGAACACCAATCAAGCTTGTAGATGATAGTTTCGCTTTCCTCACGATCCGTCTTTAATAGTCGGGTTCAAGATCGTCGTCATTAGCTAGCCCCCTCTGGCTAAGGTATATATAGTTCATTGGGTCTATCACGAAGAGCATAACAGCCGAAGATGCGTACGTTGCAGACGCGTAGAGGTTCTCAAACTTTAATATCTCGACTCCGCCGCCATGAGATACATAAATTTATTTAAAGCTTTCACGACGGTGCATAATTTGGTGCGCGATAAAGCGCGAGTTTTATGACGCGTCTCGGGATAATGCGCTTTAAAAACAACTAACGTGTAATAAGAATACGTGCAAGTTGCATAATTCACTGCGAAAACGACGTCTAAGAAACGATTACGTCCCATAACAGATCAAATATTCACGTCAGTATAGAATTACGAGGTACATTTAAATGAATATATAACATGTTCTTTTAATAGCAAAAGGTTATATTTAATTTTCACTGAACTATTAATTTTCACAGAACGGACGGAAAGGAAATAAATCAACCTACAAAATTGGTTAGAAAGCACCATTAAAAATTAAATAAAACATTTTGCGTCTTAAACACTGTAAAACACGTCTTGTAAATTATTCCTCTCCGTTGTTAAGAATTAAACAATGTGATATCTTCTAGGTTTCCGGAAAACAATTTTCATCTTCTTTTCTTTCTTTTTATTTATTTCAATTTATTATTTCAAGAGAACTGATTAGAAAATTCCAGTTGCTAGCGTAAATAGTACTTTGAGAATCACTGACGTGTATATACATATATATATGTATATAGCTAGCTACAACTCATCTCTTCACTAAAGTTTCCTCTACCCATTCTATACCCAAGTATCTGATAGCTCTTGTAATTTCCAAATGGCCGTTCTCCATCTCGTTTGTGTCGTTCTTTTTTGATGATCAGTTCTTTCTTTCTCGGTTTAGTCTCCAATCTGAACCCTAACGAGGGCGAAAAGCTAAAGGTTGAGTTCATTTCAAGAGCAAGGAAAGAACGGTTTAAAAATGACGCTGTTTCTAATTACATTTCGCTCGTTCCTTCCCGGTTATCACAATTTCAACGGGGGTGCACACAGTGCAAAAAAGGACAAAAGTCAAACGAGGGTGAATAAGGAACTTGAGAGAAATAGAAAGAGAGAGTCGAGGGTGCGCTTTGAGTAAGAGAGCAGAGTGCAGGATGGCTAGGATTTATTACGTTCCGGTAGGCGGACGAGGGAGAAGCGGCGAGGAAGCAAGCGTTACACCGTGGCGGAATAAAAATCTCACGTTAAGACAAGGCAAATGGTGTAACAGTCAAAATTAAATGGGCAGAGACGAAACGAGCTTGGGAGCAGTTAAAAGGTTACGATCGACGAGAGATTAAGTAACCGCGAATGCGAAGATATTTTCTATATCAACTATCGATGAATATCTGGCGGAAATGATCTGAGATTTGGTCTTTGTCACATCTAGAGACTCTATAGCTAGAGTTTGGCCACGAATAATTTTGTCAAAATAAGAGTGAGAAAAAAGAATATATATATATATACTGCCTTTTTTATATGTGCTTTATTCTAACTTATGTTATCTAACTTATTCATTTCATAACTTACTGAAGTTGACAAAAACGTCAGACCAATCCAAAGTTTGTCATCTCGTGGCCAGACTCTGTTATAGGGTCTATAGTCACGTTGACATGTGAAATAACGGTCCGCGGTTATGAAATCTCGTGACAGTAAAGTTTGACGTGTATGTCTCGCGAACGAAGAATCAAATAGAACGCAGACTTCGTAAAATGAGTACCAAGAACAATATAGAAAACATGGACCAGATGGGAATCATCAATTTTTGCTAACCAGAATTATTTTTATACACAAATGCTGATAAATTAATTGACAAGGAACGATGACAATCAACTGACAATGAATAATGTTAAAATATTCTGTTTATTCCGACTTTATAAACAATTTCTGTGAGAGCAGTATAGGGAGCTTAAACAGAGCTCTCTATAGATGCAAAGGAATACGAGAACGCAGAAACGAGCTGATAAAATAATAAAGAAACTACGTTCTTTCTCGGGAATCGTACGGAGAGCTTTTTTTTATATCGGCTGTATCCTCGGCAGGAAATGAAAAGCGTTTCGACCAAAGAGAGTAAAGTACATCGTCCCATACGTATCAATATGGAGAACGTGTGCACTACGATGTACCTGATATAAAATTTTAAAATTGTAAACTTGAAGTCTATACACATATATAAAGCGAGTGCCCGCATTCAGTTGATTAGCATAAATAAATAAAAGATGCGTTGAACACCCCGATGTCGGAAGCTTTTCCTTCTCGAAGTTGTCCGCGAAAATCGCAAATCGAATTAATTAGATAATTAAGAAAATAAAATAAAAAATGGTTGTAATTTTAAAAAAAGTATTTGACAAATTTTTAATTATATTTCATATATATTTTTAATACTTTGAAAGATCTTTAACGTTTTTTACTTAAAAAATAATATTCGATAAGAAAAATGATATTAAGAAGTGACAAAGTTTTTTGAATTAATAAAGTTTATATCTGTGAATGAAAAAAAAAAAGAAAAATCTCATAGAAATTCGATCAATCTACAATTTCTATCCGATATTTCAGATTGCTCGAACTGTTGCGAAAGAAATTTCTTTTTTGCTTTTTCATTCGCGCATGTAAACTTCTATTAATTCAGAAAACTTTATTCTCTCTTTTATGTATAAAGATTGTTCTATAAATCTATCTGTTGTGAGTAAATTCTTTTACCTATTATATTAGTTATAATAAATTTTCTTTATTATGTAGAGAGAAGAAGAGAGGTGGTATTATGGCCAGTATATATAATATATATATATATATTGTGGCCTCCCTTAATATCTCCGCTATTATATGGCGAAAGTAGGAAAATATCCTAATGATTACTTGGAATTATTTATTCAGCAGCTCGCCGTTATATAATTACGCTAATATACCAATACTCAATAGCCAGCAATTATTATAACACATTTTTACTTTCAAATATTTCAAAACATTTTTGAGGTACATTTTAGCATTTAATTATTTTCTCATTTTCCTTAAACTTGAACGTATTATCATATGAAGATATGTATTTTTGAATGTGTTATTTGCTATTTAACATTTTATTTTTACTATATATATATATTTTGCGTTATGCAAATTTAAAAAATAGCATTGCATTTTGCTAATGTGACCCTATGGATATTGATTACTTACGACCTCTTCTTAGAGATTTTTATATAAAAATATTTTTTATTTGATAATCGATTGTAGCTCTACTGTTAATCTATAGTTTATATTACGTGTACTATTTTTAGTACAGAAATTTTAGTACTAAGCAGCTTATATGCTGAAGTTATATGAATGTACAATATATACAATACATTCATTTGCATACATTTTAAAATGTTTTACTTTTTTGTTAATTTTGTGTAACCAAATACTGTTTTCTAAACAAAACTAATATTTTAAGGCTATTTTTATGGAAGGCCACATTATCACCCTTTTTTTTTTCTTCGACTCATTATGCGATGTCGCCATATTTTTATTAATAATCCTAAGTAATAAATATTTCGTATTTGAATCTAGAATTGATTCAATAATATTTTAACATTTTTAACGAATGTAATTGTCAAGTTTTAAACTTAAATATTGATTATTAACAAAATTATTGTGTAAAATGTAACTGTCATGAATGTATGCAAATGAATGATATTACCATCTTCTCCTCTATATATACATATATGAAT